CAGCATATTAGCATAGTGCAGTGCAATGGCTGACAATGAGCCACACTTCCCGTTACTTACAATCGAGCTTACAACCTCCTGATTAACACCCAAAATAGTTTACCAATAAGCATGATGCAACAAAAAGAGAACTCTTGAGCATCCCAAGGTAAGGCGAGAGGTAAGGACAATCCGAGGACATAATTATCTTCAAATGTGCATTAACTAGACGAATGTAAAACATTGAAGGGGCAAGCCTAAGCAAGTAAAGCAATGTACATACAATAGATATTGACAGACTAACAATACTCATGACAGTGCAACTTAAGCAGCTCAGAACTTGCCGGATTGAGTGCAGTGTAGTTCTTGACCTACCTTTGTAATCAAATGGCAAGTTTAGCATTTGGAAAACATTAAAGATAGCTAGAAAAAGTCACTGCACAAATGATATGGCTAGATAGGCAACAGTTGCGTAGCAATGTAGTCCAAGTTAGTTCAGGCTGTGACAGACATTCAAAGTCATTCACATCAATAAAGATGGCATAGCTATCTGCTTTCTTGATTTGGACAGTAGTATGCGAGTACAGTAAGTCAAGTTATCAGCAAGAACAAGTTTAATAGTTACTTTATTGCATCTATAACCTTGCCTGGCTGTTGGAGAAGCCTTTGGAAAGAATTTCTGTCTTATTTTGCTGCTAGAAAACTCATGACTTTTCCCCGTATGTTGGTCGCCATTTTATTTCATTGTGGCTACTCCCACTTTTAATGAAATATTGAAAACTGAATTTATATACCCTTTTCAATGCATAGCATCTACCGTATTACGCATAAATAGGGGTGACGTACGTGTACAAACAGCTCAGGCTCGCCCCAATTAGACTTTTCGTTGTTCTTGATTGCAACTCCCACCTTTAAGATGGCCGACTCTTCTACGGTTTCAGGAAGGATACATCAAATTCTCGATCAAATTGGAAGATTAAGTGAGTGATGGCATGACTTGTTATAGCTTATAAGGTTTTTAAATCATATGTGATTACTACAGACATTAGTGATCTCGATGAAGTGATTGCATTACTTGAGAGACATCACTACAACAAGACATCATATCATCGACTTGGCCTTCGTCTTAATTTGTCTCACAATACACTAGAGAAAATAAAGAGAGACCATGGAGAAGTTGATCCTTGTTTTACAGAGTGTTTGGCTAGCTGGTTACGTAAAGTTGATGATGTGGAGACTCCAACAATAGATACACTGATAGCTGCTCTCAGAGGAATAGGAGAGAATGCTGTAGCTGATGGCATTAATGAAGAAAGACAAAGTGAGTGAAAAATCATAATTTCATCATGTGTTAATTCCCATCAGCTGTCTCGGCTATATCTAAAAGTGAAATGTTCTGTCATCCAACTCCCCAAACTACCCCCACAACCACCAGTAAAGGTAAGATTTTGTCATTGGCCTTGTCATAATTTGTGTGGATTAGTGGAGACTACTGTGACCATTGTAGGGTAGTGTTATTTTGTGGACTTTGTACATATGTAGGTCACAAAATTAATACC